TGTTAAGGTTTTTTGTTCTCTTTTGAGCTAAATAAAAATGTTTGAAAAAAAAACTAACTTGTTGAATGTCTTTTTCTCAATTAAAACTGAGAAATATGCTAAATTAAGTTTAGACCATACAAAAATCCCCCGTTTTTTTTCTGACAAATTGAAACTTAATTTTAATTTATACATTCAAAAAACCAATAAAATATTATTACCTATATATTTTTATTTTAACCAGGATTGAAACAAGTTCAAGTTTGTCATACAAGAAGACCTAAACTACACAGAACAGGCCAATTGAAGTGGGTGGATACTTGGGTGGAATATTGCACATTCTTCTCTATATAGCATTTTTTGTGAAAAAGATGCAAGGCATCATTTTATTTACTATAAATGACTACTCATTATATTAAGGTACTAGAACTCTAAGTGACTAAATTCAATAAAGTCTTTTATTCTTTCCCTGTTAAATTGAAATAGGTTGGATAAAAAAAAAAGCGGAGTAGAAAATACAATGTCAACTAGAAAAGTGTTTCGTTACCCCAAATGGTGGAGCCTTACATTGCCCGTATTCACATCAATATATAAAATATAATCAAATTTTAAAAATATAATAAATAATTCTGGCACTGGTCCCTGGCTTATTTTCGAAACTTGTCCACTTAAAATTTTCAGAAATGCTGAACTAGGGGGATAGTCATCACAGGGTGGAATTTGAGAGATATTTTCTTTTGATGACGCGGGATGGCTTAAAATAAAAAGCCCATTGCAGGCCGATGTGACAACTGGAATAATATAGGTCTACAACAAAAAAGTATCCTTCAGTTCTCTGCGAAATTAGGACCCATGAGAATCAGCAATTTAATAAAAATTCGACCCTGATCCTACTTCAGCAGTAAATATTTTAAATGCTTTTTTGTGTCTGTAAATGGCAGTATGTTGCTTCAGCACCTTTAAAAAAAAATTAATTTCCTAATGAAGAAGTTTTAAACAATTGAAATAGTTTGTATAATAGTTTAAATAGATATTATAAAACAACTTTATTAGTAACAATTAACTTAATTAAACAACCCTTAAAAACAACGTTTCGGACGTGCATTTTTATTATTTTATTTTATATTAATATTCTAATGTCCCACCCACTTTTACATCGCAGATTTATTTGAACAACTATTACAGAAGAAACAACAGAAAACATTACGCAGCAAACGCACTTGCGATTTTTTTTAAAGAATTCATTTATCCAGGTATCTGAAATTAGTGGCATCATGTTTCTTTCATTTTCCCCTTGATAAACAGGAAAAACTGATTTTTTAGGTTTTGGGGCCGAAAATTTGAAATAATGTGTTGTCATTGGCAACGAGTCTATGTGACAAGTTTCAAGCTCAATGGGTTGACGGAAAATGGGTCAACTAGACGTCCGAAGATTTTGCCCTCAACACACAAAAGCAAAGTTAATATAAAGGATTGAAAAATAATCAAGATTCACAGCCTTGTTCTTTTGCACTTAGATTAAGTGTCAATTGACACAAAACTAAATGCAGGTATGCACCAAAATCAATCCTTATTTTCTGAATTTATCAAAAGTGATCAGGGTAGGGGCTCAATGAGTCCCACCGCAGCTCCCCACTTTGGTTTGAAAGCCTTTAGCGCCCTTGATCCCCCCCCCCCCTCCCCCTGCGATTTAGTGCATATTTTAGGGGCAGCATATTTCAAAGTTTGTTATTTACAGTTTTCACTGTGTCCCCCCTTTGGTTTGAAAGGCTTTAGCCCCCTTGACCCCCCCCCCCCCTCCCCCTGCGATTTAGTGCATATTTTAGGGGCAGCATATTTCAAAGTTTGTTATTTACAGTTTTCACTGTGCCAAAAAGCACTACATATATGTGAAGTTTGTTGGGGGGCAAATTCAAATTCTTTCACTTTAGTTATTTCGGAAAATATGTAGTGAGCAGGACACTCCAACAAGAACAAGTGAAAATGAAGCACACATGTGAAAAAAGATGCTCGTATTTTGTATTCTATAATGAGTTCTTAGTATTTTAGACAAATTGAAAAGTCATTCAAATCAAAGTATATATCTCTTCCACAAAGGTTCATAGAACATTAAAAGAATGCATTTTTAGCCATATAAAGCGTACAAAGTTTAGAAATAAAGCTGTTATATATTTTAAGTTTATGGCTAGATGGATACATACATAACATTATAGATAACATCTTAATCACATAATAAAAAATACCATCTCCTGCTAAAAACTATTCTGAATGGAGAGAAAGTTAGCTTCAAGATCATTAACATTACAAGCACTTTATCAATATCCTAATATAACTTACAATAAAGACAACATACAAATTTAAGAAAATAAATCTAGCATTATCTACCTGAGAAAGCTGCAGCAATAGTCCTCAAACTTAGCATAGCGGCAATCTACTGGACAAAAATAAATTTGCAATAGTGCAACACTTCAAAATGAAAGCAACGTAACATAAGAAGTGGGTTTTACCGATTTAATAAATATATGCAAAGGAGGAATTGTACAGCTAGATTTTGTATTATGATCCTTTACATGCAAAATGGTACACAAAATTCAAAGGCAACACAAAATGATAGTTCAAGGTAAGTCACAGTATCTTGGTCTCTGAGCAGTTCAAGGTAAGTCACAGTATCTTGGTCTCTGAGCTTTATCTTACTAACAAAGTCTTTTGCTATGTAGAAGTTGTATCAGAATCTGGTGATCCAAAGATGTTTCCAATTATCTCATTAACAACTAGGATGATTAGGTTTTTGCTACGGTGTATGGTAATGTAACTTTTAAGAATTGTTCTATCATTTTTTCATGAACACCAGAATGCTATTTTACATCTTCCAAATCAATAGATTCTTGTTTTACACATTTTTCCAATATATATAAAAAAAAAAATCTTTTCACAAAAAGAAATTGCCGAGTTACTTTAGAAATTTTTTTAATATATTAAGTGCTAAATGCATTTTTTGAGATGCCCATGGCCCACAAGAATAACTCGTCAATCTTTTAGAAAGACGGACGGCAACATTTATGATCCCTCTAAGTTCAATATCAGGGTTTAATTATAAAGCCATGAGTTATTCCCACACCATCCTGTTATTAGATATTCATATGTGCATCTTTGAATCTAATTAAATACACACAAAGTGCCCTGAAGTCTTCCTGATGTACATCACACAGCGGCTAAACTTCTGACTTAAGTACAAGTTGGAGCTGTTATTGGAATGTTTATCCCATCTACCAGTGCTAGTATCATTATTATCAACAACTCATTACTAGTATCATGTGTGAATTGAAATAACTTTGTTTAAAGGAAATGTTTTGACATGTGCAGTGCATAAAATCTAGTTTATAAATATTCAAAAAGTTTGTTTTTCCATTTTTTTTTTTTTTTTAGAATCCTTAAAACTTAATATGAAAAATATTGTTCTTTTTTTTTTCTTTCAGTTTTTTTAAAAAGTCTAGAATAAAATCTAACTTAAGAATATTTTAAATGGAGAATAAACAAATCATTCAATTTAACGACTTGACTAAAACACACCACAATATCAGAATTGCTGTAGACACATCCTCATCAAGCTGTTCCACCCTATTAAGCTCAAAATGTTCCATTTACTATTTCAGTAGGCAAATGTAAGTGGGTGATTATATAATAAGCCACAGATATCCATTAAAATCCTTGGCCTGGTGCTAAATTTTTTTTACGGTTTATTAAACAAAACAAAAAATTACAATAACTACAAATATATCAACAAAATAATATTTAGTGACGAACACAAAAGCAAAATGAAAACTTGGTGGGAAATTTGGGGGGGGGGGGGNAAAGAATTTTGAGCCAAGAAAACAAGACTGACTTAAAACCATCATTCACCAACAAAAAACATCAAAAAGATGGAGTGGATGTTTTAGCCATTTTTTTATGTTTAAAAAACATGCATAGAAATGTTTGACAAAGTACATTCCCTCCCCCCCCCTCTCACCCACCAAAAATGTATTTATCCTACACATATTTAAATACCTGTGCTAAAAATATTCATCTCTACAATGTAAAATATATTTCAGCCCATTTTTTTCATCAATTGTTTTCATACGATCATAAGAAAGAATATCATTATCTCATCAACACAGCACACTAAATCTTTGAAACATTCTATTATTGTTTGGAATAATAAGCTTTATGAATAAAAACAATATGTGCAAGTAAAATATAAAGGGGAATGGGTCGTCTTTATGAACAATGAAAGCTAAAAAAACTGTTACTTATCAGCTTCTATTTCAATGATTAATTAGTTACATATTTATGCAGTAACAACAAATAACTCCATGCAGCGCACAGCTCAATGGAAAACATGAGTTACTGCTCATTTAATCTCTTTTAAAAGAAAAAAAATTTATAAATCTTTAAGGCTGCTAGTAATTTTTCACTACTGAGCTTTACTAATGAGCAGATTAAAGAAAATACATTCAATGAAATTGCTAATGGTTTTTATTGCATTTGGTTGTAACCATAATTTTTGTATTTAAAACACAATTCATAAAGATAGTTGATTAAGTGACATCTAGGCAGCTCACAATAGAAAAGCATGACAATATGTCCAAATCTCACAGGTGGGAAAAAAATAGGCTATTACATAGTGTTCATTTGTTATGGCATGTTGCTCGACATGTTAATGTCCCTGTGGACCACTTTGAGACTCCTCCTGACATTTTGGGTACACAGCTTCTCCTCGGTGGAGATCATTAAAAGTTTGGCTTACTGCAAATGGTCCTACCAAGATAAGCCATGGTACACTAAAATTTTATAATATTGCATGCTCTTACAGTGTTTTATCAGCATTTACACGGTATAGTTCCTCTATTTAAAACTTATAGAGACTTCTGCAGCACATATACAAGACTGAAGTAGGTTAATAGAATTTTACACAATATACTTATAGAATTTTATTAAATATTTAAATGCTGAAAATGTGTAAAAACTGTTAACACCCCCCCCCCCAAAACCACCCCATTTTAACAAATAAAAGCACATTTAATGCATGGTATAATTAAAAGCTTGTACCTCCAAAAATGTTTACCTGCTTGTTTTGCTCAAATGTGTTTGAGCCACTCGACAGTCCAGCATTAAGTACACTGCTGCATCCTAATTTGCTGGTTATTTAGGGTACTACATTACTGGTAAAGATTTTTTTTTTTTAAATAGCATGAGAACATTCAAATGTAGTCAGAGACTAATAAATGATAACTTGAATGATCTACTGAACTATCCATCAAACAAAAGTGCCTTATTTTCATCCATTACAGTAACGGCCAATCGAACACCAAGAAATAAATTATGCTAATTTCTGCTTATTTTATGTTGTTGTTTTTTAAATATAGAAATTCAACCACTCGCATCAAACGCATTCCAATCTTAACAAGATGATATAAACCATGCCAAAGTAAACCAAAATGTAGGCTAACAGATATAGGAATATAAAAAAGGGAGAGAAAATTAGCAGGAATTCTTTTCACTGGAGGAAATTTATTTCAAATTATACAAGTCTTCAAAAATAGATATATTTTCTATCAGTTCACATCAACAAAACTAGAACAATCAACACCCCTGGTAAAGCTGACATATAAATTAAAGCATGTAGTCTTACTGTTAAAAAAAATATTTAATTTCCCTTAATTTCATAATTTTTATATGAGTAACCTTTTTTTTATAAAAAAATTTTTTTAAAAAAATTTAAAAAAATTTCACAAAAAAATAATTTTGACAAATGTTCACATGGTTCTAAAAATGGAGCCGAGAGAATCCCTCAATAATTTACATATTTATTAAAGCACAAGAATAAACCCAAAGAAATTATTGTTTAAATATCACTAGTGGTTTACAGGTTTTACAAGGCTAAAAAAAAGTGGTCCAAGTCACAAAAACCTGTCCATTGATAAAATCATAGAAATGCAACAATTACATTAACAACAAGCTTCCCCACTCCCCCAGGCAAAAGTTAAAAAAAAAACCCATTAAAAATAACACACTCTAACAAGAAAACTAAGTTAATGCTTACAATGCTACTGTTTACTTCCAAGTCGTGCAGCTGCTCCACACCACATCATAAGTACAAATATGACCATTGAAAACACATTCAACAAAGCAGTATCCTGTTGAGCACATGTATATCAAGCTCGCATTTCTCATTCTAGACCATTTGATTCCTATCACATACCCAATGCTATATCTATAACAGAAGTTTAAATTTTTTTTAAAAATATCCTGATCGGTTCATAGACTAAGAGAATTCTTAATAATTTAATTTCCTAACCTAAAGGCAGGAGAAAAATTAGTTTCACTAATGACACTCTCAGACAGCCGTGACGAACATGTTCAAAGTTTTAACGGCAAAGAAATACAACAGTGTTACCATTTCTTGTGTTTTTACCAATGCTGAGATATTTTCAGCCTATCTTTAACGAATTGGCTGTTGTCTTCTGACTTTAAGAGGTTGTTGATTTTTTTCTCCCTGGTAAACCTCGTCCCCATAAACAGCTAACTTGCTAGAACAACAAGTCGTTGCCGTGGGGGCTGTTTGACACTGCACTCAGCTGTCTGTAACGATGTTATGTATATCTTAAGGCAAGGACCCTCACTCACTGTACAAGCCTGACATTCTAGTCTTACATCCGTTGGCTTGGCCCTTCAGTATTTCAACAAAATGCTAAAATAAAAATTGTTGGTTGTAATATATTTAAAAAGGTATTATACATGGTTGTGGTAGAGTGAAAATGCAACTAGATTTACGAACCATTTTAAAGAGCTTGCTGGATACACACAAAAAAATTGATGAAAATAATTTTAAGAATTTTTATTGCATAAATTACTGAGTAAAACACATGGAAAGATTAGAAATGGGAATTTGGGGTAGAGGGTTGGGGGTGGAGAGCCCTAATAAGGGAATTCTCACAATTTTGAAAATAACACAAAAATCAATCAATCACCACACTTGATGTTGAAGAGTAAAGGCCTACACTTTAAGTAACTAAAACAAAGCAGTTCTTGACTGACAAAATACACACTTACAAATTCATAATACAAACTCAGACAACATTCAATTTATTGATTGATCCTTTTCCATTCAAGGAGTCAATTTCAATATTGAGGTCTTTAAATTTTACTTACATAATTTTCTTTCAACATTAAAAAGAAAAGACAATTTAAAGGATTTATTTTTCTGTGCTTTAAGCTATTTTTAACATCTTGGATTCGAGCTTTAAGTCACTCACTGCATGAGGGATAAAATCTACATTTGTTGTGCAGCTGCACTAAGATTTGAAATAGAATCAATGCCCCATGACTAAGACTTTTATTTATATCTCCAATGTGTATATAAAAATATGAGAACTTAGGTGAAACTTATGCAGATACAATATTTTTGTAAATGTGCACACGTCAAGTTATTAGCATGAAGATTTGTACAATCAATTATGACCAAACCAAAACATTATCAGTACAAACAGGCAGAACTTACATAGTTGATAAAAAAAAATGGTTATGGATATATATATATACACTAAAATGTATTATTTACTCCTATATCATTAGACAACATTTCTTTTGGATGGACAAAACAGTTTGCTGCATTAGACAATAATTTACACATTTTTTCCCTCCCTTTAAATACCGGTATGCAGATATAAATACAACATTTCTGCGTAAACTGATAATAAAAGTGAGTAAAGCCAATCAGATTGGAAAGTGATAGTGGCAACTCAGGTGAATAAAAGTGGAGCTACTTGTAATAAATAACTTGCAGTTTAGTCTTTCCCGACCCTTTGAACTTAGTTGTCAGCTGATGGAGAGATAATTTATCTCAATCTGGACAATGAAAACTTTGGTCCAATTTGCACATATATGCTTTCACAATTTCTAGCAAGTAAATCAAGTTCTACTGTGATTTTAATCTCCTTTAGCCAATGTCAAAAATAATGTAACGCATCATCTCAATGTAACATACCAAAATGAAATTCACTTTTAAAAAAATAAAGAAATGAATTTGAATAACAGACTATTCATGAGGATAATTGTAAGATTGAGAAATTTTTTAACATCTTAGCATTAACTGCTTGGGAGGTCTCAAAAGTAACTTCAGCCTAAATGACCCCATGTACATACATCCTTATAATGCCAGTCTGTATAAGTATCACAGACAAGTTTTAACTTTTAAAAAAAGAACACCCACCCTGACATAGTACTGACTTTAGTGAAAATTTACAACTTTACTTACAAAACTAAAGCTAACACACATTTACACAGTGAAAATATAAACAATTTCATGACAGGAAAAAAAATCCTAAGACAATAACCTCTGAATCTTTTTCACCCAGTGTTTTTCTCCGAGCTGTGCAGCAAACTGAAGATTTGTAGTCTCCGAGATGATGCCACCAGGTGACTAACTTGACAAGAACAACAACAGATAGCTACAGAAATAGTACCAGGAGCACAATTGACAAGCTTCTCTAGGCAAAAGTTACATCATTTATCATCTTCCGATGCTGTCATACCCCGAACAGGGCCTTCCTTCCGTTGCTGAAATTTGGAAAATGATACATTTATGACATTGTAAACATTTTATAAATAGTTTTTGCTGCCATATTTTTATCACAAGATTTTGCACATAAAAACAACTAGGGATCTGATTTATTTCTATTCTGAAAGCACTTTAAGATTCTCTGCTGTTTAATTTATAAGTAATCCAAAAATAAAAATATTACATTTATGAAGCATGTCTAGTATTCTTAGGCTAAATATGTACATTTTCAAACACAGCTAAGAAAACATTCGAAAGGAGCAAACATCGATGCTTACATTCAAAATTTAAATAAAGCTTACCCTTTCGAGCTCTTCTTTAACTTCTTCTTCTAACTTTCTTATATCAGCCATTGTCATGCCATGATAGTGGTCTGTCCAGCACACCACTTGTCGGTTAAAGTTCAAAAATAATCGCTGCTCTTGCTGGAAAAAGAAGTCACATCACTGACTGAGTTTCAAAACATGATTGACTACAAAACTTTCATTACTGATGGAGTGGTGTTGAAGTGAAGAATAAAATAATCAAGCCAGAGAGAAAATCAAATGTAGCGTCAGTTAATTCCCAGCAACACCAAGTCCTATCTTCAATGTGGAATATAAACAAGCAAAAATAGCTGCCTGAAACATGATGTAATGGACCATTTTGATAATAATGTTACCCAAAAAAAGGTGAAAACTAAAATTGAGAAAAACGTTGTGCTAAAGCCTTGTTTCTGCACTTACTGACAAGATGAAACTTTCCATCCTTTTCTGGAGTCCAAACCATTTGAACCAAACTTTGACCACTTTGTAGCAGCACATGACAGGACTGACATTGTTCTGGGAATACAGTCATAACAAATTAGAAAATATTCATCTTAGAAATGATCAAAATGAGAAGAAAAAAAAAATCCAAAGTATTTGATAGCATCACAACACCAATCAAACCATACCAACAATAATCCATTTTCATAACATTTTAAATCCTACCTTTCAGGTAAATGAATTTATTTCTACAATAGGGAAAATTTAATTTTAATCCTTTATAGGAATTCAGGTCAATTAAAATAAAATGTTTTGGCTAAATGCCCCCCCCCCCCCCCCCCCCCCCCCCCCCCCCCCCCAATAAAATGTTTTGGCAAAATCCCCCCCCCCCCCCCCCCTCCTTCCCCACAGCCCAATAAAAAAAAATTGTTATTAAAAATGAATACCATCCAACTGCCACTTTTGTCATGAGGTAAAGCTGATCTTCCTGCCTTGGGTGAGCCTACTAAACATGGATCCCATTCTGCTTTATAATCCTAGGAAAAACAAGCAAATTGGAAAAAAAAAAGAATGCTTCAAATTTGTAGTAGGTTATAAGACATTAGCGAAATAATCTTCTTAAAGTAACATCATGAGATTGCCTGTTAACTTTTTTTATTTTAAAAGCATAAATGCTCTATTTTTTTGCACCATAGATTTTTTTTAGTGAATATGTTTTTACTCTGAAATTTTTCAGAATTCTTTGCAGTATAACATGTTGAGCATGGAGGCCAAATGCATCGCATTTCACACATCAAACATGCGAAAAAAATAATACTGCAATATCAACCCTGATATTAGCTTACCTTCGATGACACTTTGTCATTAGCAACATCAATCTTTACTACTTGTCTTGCTGTCAAATCTCTTCCTGACAATCCATGAATCTAAAAATTAGAATTCAGTCAGTATAATTATAACTGATAAAAGTGCCATGAGTCAAATTATATACCGTATTTATCGGCGTATAACACGCACTAATGGGTCCTTAACATTATATCGGCGTCAAACACGCACACATCATTTGCCCCCTATTTTCAGGGAGAAAAAGTTTGTGTTATACGCCGATAAATATGGTGTGTGTATATATATACACACACATGTATATATACATATATATGCATACATATATATACCAGACCTGTTTACCCGCAAACTCTTAAAATCGTAAAATATCATCACAAAATCGTTCAATACATTATCTTAATAGTAAAAAAATGTACAGTATATATAATGTATACACCTCAAAATTGTTCATTGTACGCCAAAATCTTCAGAGTAAACAGGTCTGATTTACATACATATATATATATATATACACATACCAGGGATTCTTAACCTTTTTTTCGTTTGCCATTATTATCCTGACCAGTCATATAATAATAATAATAATAATAAAGTTCATTTTAAAAAAAAACACGCTTCATCCCCAAAGGCTCGAAGCGCGGTACAAAGTCAACAAAAACATATCTATAATTCACCACATTTAAAACAAACACAACACTACAAAAACTAATTACAAGCATACAATATCAAATTTAAAGGACTCCAGTGTCTGGTTGTTTCTAAGATCGACAGGAAGGGCGTTCCAAATTGTTGGACCAGCAAATGCGAAAGTGCGCTTTCCGTAAGTCTCAAGGCAAACACGTGGTGTCGAGAGTTTGCTACTATCGGATGAGCGGAGCTCTCTACTGGGTATAAGGCGTCAGCAGCTCTTTCAGATAGGACGGCGCCAGGTCATGTAAGCAGCGGTAGCACAAAGTTGCGATTTTGTACTCTATGCGAGCACGCACCGGCAGCCAATGCCAATATGAAGGAAACAAACCCCTGAAAGTTATGTACAGGGTTCCAACTTTTTTTTTTTTATAACAGCCTACTTAAAACAAACAAATAGTTATCGTCTATCACAACACAACGGTTTTGTTAATAAATAAAAACAAGCATGAAATGTGCAAGTCAAAACAATATTGCAATTGCACATACTAACAAAATTAAGCAACAAAGGTGTCTATATGTAAATATTTATTACATTTATGAAAATGGATAGTCGAGAAAACACACTTGAGTGTATATACAATCTCTGCACTTAAGTGTATATAACATCTCTGCAATCAGGATTTCATATGTGGACACATAATTTGGAAGCTTCATTGAGAAGATGCAGAAGTGGACACCTAAGGTAGGTGATAGCTGAATTTGAACTAGATCAAGTCTCATCAGGTGAATGACGTTTATTAAACATTTTCCCCTCCAAATGGCACATGAGAACTGTCATGTAAATATAATGTACAATCCAGTACAGTGCAGCAGTGATGACCTGATCAATGATTGCTGTCCTACCCATCCATCTTTAAAGGTACTGTTGAGCATTGTTTTATTTACTCTCGATCCTGAATAGTGAAACAAAATAAAATATATTAACATATTAAGCTTGCAGTAGGACATTCATCATATAGACAACAATACTACAACAGAAGAGATACTAAGATAACAATATGAAAATATGCAGTGGCATATTTAGCTAATAAGAATTAGCCCCCCCATTAAAAATGAATTTAACAACGTAAGCTACGCTGAGACGGCTTAGCCATTTTAGACAGCGATCAGATGCATAGTTTTCTATTCATAATGTCTACCTGACTCCTGACTATTAAAAACAAGAAAAACTACATTCAAATAATTAATGTACTTTACTTACCGAAAAATCTGTTGATCAATGAATTGAGTAGAAAAAATAATCTGATCTATCAAAGTAGTACGGCACGAAATTTCAGAAAATTTTAATACGCACGAGCATTTAAATGGAACCAACTATAATTGTGAAAAAAATGTTTGCGTGGATAAACATTGACGACATCTGCAATTAATGTTCCTTTTAATGAATCCATTTTTTTTTTTAAACTAAAAAAAATTCCCCGACTAGCCATAATATATCCTTATCAGAATGCTCTATTTCCCAGTTGTCGCAAAATGGAAAATATGTTAAGGAAATCCTATTTTCCGGACTGGAAGGGGAACCCAATGTAAAGGAAATGCAGTCCAAGGACCCCCTGAACCTTATAGTCAGTTACAGTTTTAGAAACCCTCATGTATTAAGTAAAACCACTTAACATGATGTTTTGGGGACATATTTCTTTCTTATCTTCCCATAGCAACTCTTTAAATATAACATGGTAAATCAATAACATCCTTTTAATTCAAAGGTCAGAATTAATCATCACCTGTTTCTCATTGTATGGAGAGTTTGTTTTTTGTTTTTTTAAATGGCAATGATAAACATAATTCCAATTTATACAAAGCAGAATATGAAAAATTACCCTGACCACCTACATTAGAAGTTGTTCCATTGTCTGGTGCATGAAATGACTCAATAATGATGTAAAAATTTTCTTTCATATAGTCTGGGTTCTGGAGAAAGAAAAGAAATACAGTTCCAAGTGAGCTGTATATTTTGTTATTAAAATTTATTTCAGGTCAAGTGTTAGATGAAAATGCTACAATCAAAACATATTTTATAGCTTTATGACCAACTTTACTTTTAATTGTTCACATTAATTATAATTTGCAAATAGCATAGTGATTTAAATAAGGTATTAAAAGATCTACTTGTGTTAAACATACCGTTACAACAGTTCGACAGTATGGATAAGCATTCCAAGCTTGTTCGTGAATTTCTAAAGAACCCTTTGGTGCAAGTAGCCGCACAAATGCAGGAACTTTCCTGTTATTTTTTAGTAAGAGAAAATCATTATTCTAAACCAGGGGTGGCCATCCCGTGGGTGCATGATTTATCACAAAAAACTTATTCATTCTGCATTTAATGCACAAAGAAATAGATTTTAAAAGGATACATGAGAGAAAAGATCAATTGATATCACATTAGTCATTAGTTAAGTTTTATTCTGTTATATTATTTAGCACTTTATTGTGCTCAGAATAAAGAATTCGATAAAAGCATTTCGTTGCAATTCATTTTACTATTAGGAGTCATGACATGCGACCCGCAAACGGTTTACTCGCTATTGAAGTCTTTCGGGTTGACCACCCTTGTTCTAAAGAAATGAAGGCAATGTTGATATGACAAATAAACAATAGACTGAAAATAGGTACATTTTTTCAGGTATCTATAATTGATCCTTGGTTTGTCTAAAAAAATATATTTACAACCCTCTTTGTAAAAAACTTAGATAAAAAAAAACTATGCTTAGGCTTAAGAATAAAAGGTCATATAGTAGGAAAAGAAATAAAGTGTATTCCATGACATACTTACTGTGATAAATGGTATATTTTATGTGTAAACTGGCCTGTTGTATATTCTCTGCCATTTGCAAACAGCTTGGGATTAGGGGGATGTGTTGATTCATCAAAGGGTTCATTCACTCTCACCTCAACACCTTCGCCCCCTCCAGTTTCATTCTTACTAGCTTGAGCTACTGACCAAAGTTGACCTATATTGTACTGAATAAGAAGTGTCTCATTTAATAGTCATCATGTTTTCTGAATTATGTACTTTTTATGTGGTTATAAAAAAAAATTAAATGTAAAATAAAAACTAAAAAATAATATGTGAGGTGGCTTTGAAAGTTGTATCAATTTTGTGTGACCAGTTACTATACATATAGAGATGATAAGCTTACATTGTCTGAAATATGGCTTTTCTCAGATTGCTTTATTAAAAGTCTAACTATATTAGAATTTAACAAGACGTTGATTTGAGCAATAAAAAGTCTATATGAGTTGTGGTAGGTATAATTGTATTATCAATGCTATTTTTTTTTTTTTTAAAGTTTAAGTCATGACATCCTGTAATGTTTGCTCCACCAGTTTATTAATTAAGATTTTGAAATGGACTATCAGATACACAAAGTACCCACCTCTTCTACTGACATAGGTAGTACAATCCGACTGAAAATAAATTAATGGTAAGGATTAACTAGTGAAAAAATGATAACAGTAACAACTGATTACTACTATTAAGGGCGAGGTCTATATTTTCTGTTTCTATATTAGGGAACAACCAGAAATCACTTCAGACATTCACCCCGGCCGAACATCCCAGTTTTTTTTTTTAAGTCTTCACATCTGCAAAGAATACTAATTCTACCCATGCAGATATATTTATTTAAAAATTACAATTTTAAAGATATTCAATAAACTTGTGTATTAAAATGGGTCATTGGATTGCTTTGTGTTCTAAATTATATACTTTTGAAACTACTTGTTGATCGGAGTTCAACCCCAGCAAAACCCAGAAGAAGAAAAGAAACAGCAGCACCCAATAGTTTTAGCCAGAAAAAAATGCTACTTCAACACTAAATTTGGATCCACACGATATACCAAAAATTCTTGAATAATCTCCAATTAGCTGGGCATGCATTCGAACATCTTTACATTCTTCCCAAATGAATAAATCGCAATTTCGAAATGAAAATAGCTTGTTAGGTAAAGTCTCATTGTTATCAAATTTTTTTTTTTTACACTTATCATCAGTAATTTTCTAAAAAATGTAATCATTCAATGAAAGCAATAGCTAATATAGATTATTTATCTTTAAGTATGTTGGCTGTAGTAATACAGATTCATGTATTGAAATTAACAAAGTGAAATCAATACATCATCTGCCTTGACAAAGTTTTGAGTTGAACCTATTGAAACCTTACTTTTTAACATGAAAGGGGGATGTAGAATTTAAACGTGGATCGAAGAGGTTTAAACTCTATGTGCTACGTGGATAAATTAATTTTAGTATTTGAACTTGATGGATATTTTAATTTTCTAATTTAAGTTGAATACTTGACTGTAAAATGATTAATGGAACATTTGTTACCTACATCTCTACAAACCTGAGTTCACAAGTTCATGGTATAAATTAAGAATTCAAGATAAAAAAGTAAAGTAATATTAAATTACATTGAAATTTAAAAAATGCATTACACCATAAAAATTGACTAGTGAAATTGATCCGAACTGTGATTTGTACCCAGATTTGGCAAACAGTAGTCCTAAAAAATTCAGATTCGGTACCTCTGTAAAATATCTACCTGGTTGTTTCAAAGTCAACATAATAAACTCTTAACTGATATATAATCCAGTGGAAGCCCCAAAAATTTATTTCCTCACGGCAGTGAGTGTCAAGGTTTGTTGCATAGTAGAACTAGTTATAAATTTACTTTCTCACTTTTGCTTCTTACTGATAGATAAGGGATAGGCGAAAAAGTATCATAATCATAGATGGATAGGAGCCTATAAAGCCTTCATAGCATAACTATAAAAATGGTCTATAGCTTTATAAATTTAAAAAGGCCCTCTCAGATCCTATGAAATATGTCAAAATCTAATATTGCTGCCTGTTAATAATTGAGAATGCATTCTTTAGTTTTCTCTGTTTCTGTACTCTCCGCGGTCAGCCTTAAGAAATAATTATGTCATAAAATTAGGTCGTAGAAAGCAAACAAGCACAAAGCGAACGAACGCAAGGAGGGGCCATCTATATTGCACATACTGGTAAGCATGAAATTCAAATCATCTAACCCCCTCCCCTCTGTTGTATGCATACTTTTTTTTTTACGCCCCCCCCCCCCTTTGCATATGTTACAGTGAGCTTTCGGGCACAATCCCCCCCCCCCCAATTAAACTATAGTTTATTAACTAATATAATCAGACGACTATTGTATAGGCCACAGCACATTTTATTGTTCCCATTAATGAGGGTGGGGGAAGGTCGGTTCTGTAGAGCTAAATACTTACATCATCAGCATGGAAAGACCATCACCATCAATATGATACGTTGCAGTGATATTATTATAGCCTTTGACACTCCCACCAATCCCCCTAACCATGCGTCTCTTATGCCACAATTTCCTTAATCAACAACCCATACCTCCCTTATCAGTAAATGCAAATATAATGAAAGATGGTCCCAAATTTAAACAATTTTAACTAATCATTGTTCTCAGTCCATTCACTGCCAGAAAGTCATTCTTTATTAGAAAGGGCTAAAACTTCCACAACTAAAAATTTATTTAAATTTTTTCTAAATGGAAAAAAAATACCCAAATATTTTTTAACATGGTCTCTGAAAATTTTAGTTTTGGTGGGTTTCTGCGTACAATCATAAAAGACATCTAAAAATCGTACATTGTACGCCAAACTCATAAGAGTAAACAGGTCTGATATTTATTATATATTATCATATATTTTTGGAGAAGATTGTTGATATTGTATCCATATTCAAATATGATATATGCTAATATGACAGTCATTTTAAATCATAATGAGCCCATCTTGAGTACCGCAGAATTTAATAAAGAAATTTAGGCAGATTGCTTTCTATTTTGAAATCTTGTTCATATAGATTGTAAATTTTGTATTTGAGCTCAACTGATAAATATTTTGTTTGAATATTTTAGGGCATCTATTATGGGCAGATATCTTCAACACAGTCCTTACTGAAAATTCCCACTGTGGATGAACACAGAAAAAAGTCTAACTGAGTGCGCTCCTTTTGAAGCGATATCGCCAAAATTATGGAACAGTTTGTCTCAATCTTTGAGGGGAATTGAAAATGATAAGAAATCATTTAAGAAACATTTAAAAACTTTTTTGGCTAAGAAGATTTAAGAAAACCAGAGCACAGTGAGCATGCTTAAGTAGCATGGATACCAGCGCTACATAAATATCCAATTCATCAATCAATCAATGTCAATGAGTATGATTATGGTGGCAATGACTGTGGGGCTCTAAGTGACTTTCTGCATGTAGACCAGAGGTACATAGCATACTACTTCCTGATGTTAAAACAAGAGAAAATATAAGAGAGTTCAAAAGCAAATAAACTTCTTCAAACCCTATTTTACTAAAGATTTGGTTGCATATTTAAGTTTTTACACAATGTGCGCAGCAGAACAATAGACCAAAGAAACTACTACTTTTCAACTAAGTGCTATTTTTTAATACTTTGTTTTACTTATTTCCTTGATAGGATAGGAGCCTTTATTAACATAACTATAAAAATAGTCTACAGCTAATTATGAATAATCCACTGACAGTTTACAGCAACAGAATATTTAGGGCCTACAAGTCCTACGTTACAATTATTACAAGTCAACTCGGAACTAAGGGACTTCACTAAGAAAATAACTTTAAATAATTATTAAAATTGTACAGAAAGCTGTATAGACTATAGAGCAAACTACAAATTTAAAATAAAAATTAAACCAAAATAAACTTAGCCCTTTTTGAGCAATTTTTTCAAGTATGATTTCGTTTGTAATTTTTTACTATGGCTATAGACTGCAACTCCCTATTCTGATTCCACTGATCGCGTGAAAAAACTAAAGTTTAAATAATAATTTTATTTACAAGTTTTATTTTCAGTTTATTGAAAGTTCTAAACTTAAATTTATTTCAATACTATTAGTCTATGCATTATCATTATTATCAATAAATTTAATAATATGATATGATTGTTGTTTACCAAGTCTAGCATGCATTATATACATATAATATATATATATATTTAATATAGTCTATGTCAGGCAAGGCTAAAAATAAGGCTGGACTATTAATTTTGAACTTTCAACTTTTGTACAAGACTAACCATTTAAAGCTTTCCAATGATTTGAAAGTTTTTACACATGGCAATTACTTATGAATGAAACTATGAGAAAAATACTATAACAATAGTATAATAGCACATGCAAGTGACTGAATGGTTGTCCAATGCTATTAGTATGATAATTTATAATATGGACACTTACTGGGATTTTAAACCTTATATCATAATATTCTTGTTTAAATGCCTACTAATTACATTCTAAAACACAAATTATCCAAATATTTTGATGGAAATGTTAATAATTGAAAAATTTTCTAAGTATCAGCATCTTCTGCCATTAAAAAGGGGGCGTGGTCACATCCAAGCCATTAATATAACATACTGCTCAAATGAAGAATCATGGCATCTCTCATAACACCCATAGCATTATAAAAATTAGCACACATGTAGATCAATATATAACCAGATAGGTTTATATATTTATAATAAAAATGAAAAGAGCATATAATATATATTAACTCCAACTTATATGAAATGGTGAAAGATGCCTTATTTTAACCAGGATTGTCTCTCTCATAGGTGACTGATTGTAAATGAAAAAGAAATCAATTGAAATAAAGTAGGTGGGAGACTAACACAACTGTGTAACAAAATAATTATCTTATAAAATAAATGAATTAGCATTATCATCGAAAAATAAAAAAATTGGATTCTCCTGCACGGATGCCAATTTTCCATACAATTTTCTAGTAGTCTCCCTTGCTTAACCGAAGTGCCAACATCATACCTATGTCTACATCTGCATGATTCACAACAAAGACAAGACCAAGAAGACTTTTCAGGAATATGTGAATGTGAGGAGTGCAGTGAGTATTAAAGTTAAAGATTTAAGTAGGGATAACAATACTTGTTCACGCACCGTTCTGCGCATGTCCTAAAATGTCGAAAAAATGTGTTCTACAATATGGCGTACGGCTACACGGTATCTTTGGAAAATTGCATACTACGTAGCCTTTGTTTATTAAATAATGCTTTCCTCATCAGTGACGTATCAGTTTTTGTGTTCCGGTGATATATTGATTTATGCTACAAGATTTTTTGTGTATCACGGACAGTATTATTATAATGACTCGGTTAGTTTATAAATCGCATAAATACTTTTTTACTAGTAAAGCCACCAAAATAAGGTTTAGTTCCACCCAATCTACATTCATTGTAAGAGTTTTTTCATTTTTAGAGTTATTATCGTTGATCTGTCTATAAAAAGTTATGCATCCCACGAAGGAGTGGGGGTATGAAATTGTCTTTTTTTTTTTTTTTTGATCAAGAAGCCGGAAATGGCTGCTATCACTGTGATTCGTTAATGTTAAATCCTTTAAACAGCTAAATAATGATAAGACGTTTAAAATGAATAATTTTAAGAAAAGATTATAACCAAAGTTTAATTATGTAGTAACCAAGGGTTGGTTTTAAGTTTTATTTATTACGTTAAAAATTGTGTACGGTACCGGTAGACAGTTTATCGTTCTTCATAATTATTGAATCAATATTTAAATTTAATAGTGTTACAATAGTAATGTCAATAATAATAATCGTTTTTCTCTTAATAATTATTTCAGAGAATATTACTAAAATTAGGCCGATATATCAGTTATAATTATAAACAACTGTTATTATAATCCTATAATAGTCTATTTAGGCCTAAGCTTAATTTTTCATAATCATAATTCTATTACTAGTACTACTAGTACTACGACAATCAACAACCACACTTACTAATAATATATTTTTTAGTTAAGCCTATATATAACAGTTTTATTAAAATACATCAAATTAATAAACAAGAATCAAACAACATCATCGTTGTAATTATATTTTTATTAGAACATAGAAAAGCAGTACATAGACAATTATTTAATATATCAAATAACATTTTTTAATAAATTAGTCTCATCATCATAGATGATTTTGAGTAATTTTTATTTATAATTACATGCGTTCCAATTTATATATATAAAAAAGACTACTTACCTTTTTATAAATATAATTGATTTAAAATGTAAAACAAGCATAATAAAATTAGTTAAAATTCAATAAACATGTTATTTTTTCGTTTTTTCCTGTATAAATGATGATTTTCCCAATTTTTCTCTTCACTTTTTTCTGAACATACCCTCAAATAAATATTTAAAAAAATAAAAGTCTTGATGTTATGTAAAAGTTTTGTTGTTTATTGGGTTGTATATTGCATTGAGAATCTCTCCTGAAAATTTGGTAGCATTATCTTTTAAAATCCAAAAGTTTTGGGCAAAATAAGGCAGAAATTTGGAAAGTGGGTCACACGTTTTTTCATTTAAATACTAAGATAAAGAAGGGGGTTTTAAAAAATCACCAAAAAAATCATAACTCCACTTCTATAAAAGATAGAAAGATGAAATTGGTGTTGTTGTAAAGCTTATAGCTAGTCCTTTAAAATGATGTATCATTCATAGCAATAGGACTATATTTAAAATTTGTGTCAAAGTACCTAATTTAAGTTATAAGAATAATAAGATTGTAATTGTAATCATCAGTGATGATTCTGAATAAGTTTATAATTATACCTTATCATAATTAATCGAGTTCATTTAAAAAAATGATTTCAAGAACTAAAACAGATGGAGAGGAAAAGATTAGCCTAATTGTTAGGCATAGTTCCTATTAATTATACTAATAGTATGTATAAGTGTAGGGTAGGCGTAGGCAAAGGAAAATACGAAATATTGTCTAGTCCGAAATTTAGTTTCATCGATTGCTTCACTCGGAAACACATATGATTAATCAATGTTAAGTGTTGTAGTGATAATAAAATTAATATTTCCTGTTTCATCTTTAGTTTATAATAAAAGAGATCAAACCATTATACGTACAACTCTTTTATAGAGTGAGCCTGCATCTGCATCTGCATTTTGTTTCCTTGCCTACGACAACAATCTTACTCCATACACACACGGGGTGGGTTAGCTTCGAAGTGACGTCATCTGTTGTACCTATCCTGTATTTAGTTTCGCAAAAGTGCTCCAAATTCCACATCTGAAAATATTTAGCGAAAATCAAAAATTGAAAGATAAAATCATTAATTTATTTAAAAAATGTATCTGCTGAATTATAGTAGTATTTTTAAAAAATAAAACACCGAATAATAATTGCTGAGTTCGAAAATCTCTAGATTCAGTCCAAGAAATTCTGATACACTCTGTTTTTTTTTAGGTTTTTTTTTAGGTTTTGTAAGTAGTGTTTTTTTCCAGATTAACCGTCTGTCTACAATTAAAAGTATTACTGTTAGAGACAGTGGTTCCCAACTTATCAGTGGATCCACGACCACCCCTTGAACCTCCTATACACTAGTAACCTGTAACTTGTAACAGTAGCGTAGCCAGGGGGGTGCGGGGTGCGGCCCGCACCTGGTGTCATCATCTGGGGGGGGGGGGGGGGGGGGAATGACAGCCAATTGAAAAAGTGGCATATTTCAGAGAACACACTGTTAAGAATAACGGAATTTCATAAAAGGATGAACAATCACACGTCAATTTTTCATACATGTAACCAATCCAAATGCGTGCTTAATTAAAAGTTCAAAGTTGATGCGTCAGAAACATCGTTTTGACCATTATTCAACGCCGAATGAAGTGTTCGGTAACTTTCATAAATGTCAGGAAGCTTTCTTTATCTAAATTCTGAGAAACAAAGCTTTCCACAAATACGATATGGTCGGACGATTCTAAATAAATGAATCGAATGGGTCAAAATTAAAAACATTTTAAAAAAGAATTTTTACCCATTTTTAGGGTTAACAAAATGATAATTTACAAAATTTTCAAATAACTTTTAATAATCAAATTTAATTTATTTAAATTTTAACAAAAATTTTGAAACCAAATCTATCGAAATCCAGAAACACTCTAAAATAAATATTTTTGCCGATTCGTCCCTAGTACCAGCGCTTAAAATTAAAGCACGATTACGTCATACAGCACAAATATCTTTTATATGCTGTCTGTAATTTTACGTTTATGTGCTAACTTTACCGTTGGGATGATCTACTTGAGGATGTTAATCTACACAGCATTATCTGCAGACTCTTGACAAAGTGGTAATGAGAAGCGCTTTCACTTGGTGGAACATGCTATTGAATAATATGTACTTTTAAAATCAGAACACTGTGGAATTTCGGTAGAGAGAAGATTAAGGTTTAAAAAGAGAATAAAAGTAGAACAATTAATAGATGCTGGACTCTCTCTCTGGGAGAAGAAAACAGTAAGGAGATGCTGGATTGCATTGTTCGCTGTCATCTGTCATCAAATCTTCAGTGATCAAGGAAGAAGGAGATATATTTGGGGCTCTTCAAACCACAATTCCACTATCAGCAAGCTTCTTACGATCTGTGCGTCTGTGGCTTCGTGTGAGCGGAGCTTTTCAAAACGAAAGCTTGTCGAGACCTATTTGCGATCCACCATGGAAACAGTCAAGGCTTTCTGATCCGGCTCTACAATCAATTGACAGTGATACGGTGAAGGATATTGGGTGACACCAACCCTAGCTGCGCCACTGACCTGTGACAATAGTAAATGAAGGACTGCGTTGTAAGAAATGGTGTAGGCCCAACTAGTATAGGGCTTCCTCAAAGACATTGATTCTAAAAATGAGTTCCGCGAGTCAAAAAAGATTTGGAACCACTTGTTTTAAAAAAATGAAACCCATTGAAACAGATTTGATCTTATGAAATAGTATCAAGCAAAAGAGATGTTCGCAACGACTTAGACTTTTTTAAAGAAAAAAACACAAAAATCCATTCATTTTGGGCATAAACGGGAAAATGTGTGTAGTCCTTTTAAACTATATTATGCTAATAGCATGTAGGCCCACTATATTAATATACTATATACTATAACTATATTTAATGCGATTTTTAAATAATATATATACATATAGGCTTTATATACATAATATAGGTGATGCGCTCATTAGTCCTCTCCATGTTCCTGTATGCCTGCGAAACCTGGACATTAATAGCCGATCTTGATCGGAAAATAAAGGCGACGGAGATGAGATGCTTCAGAAGCATTTTTGGCATCTGCTATAGGGACCATATCTCCGATGATACAGTGAAAGAAAGGGTTCGTCAGGCTATTGGGGAGTACGATGACCTACTGGTGACTGTAAAAAAAACGCTATAACCTCAAAGAGTGGACAGGACTAACACTGGGCGATGCAGTGCGTAGTGCTGTAGACAGAGAGGAATGGAGGAGGATGGTTCACATGTCATCTGTGGCGCCCCAGCGGTCCAAGGACTAAGAGACATGAGGAGGATGGTTCACATGTCATCTGTGGCGCCCCAGCGGTCCAAGGACTAAGAGACATGAGGAGGATGGTTCACATGTCATCTGTGGCGCCCCAGCGGTCCAAGGACTAAGAGACATGAGGAGGATGGTTCACATGTCATCTGTGGCGCCCCAGCGGTCCAAGGACTAAGGGACATGAGGATGAGGAGGATGAGGATCTGAGTTTTCACACAAATACTTTTTTAAAAGATATAAAAACCCTCATTTCACTTTTCCCCTTTCTTTTCTTCTTCTTTTTTTTGCAATCTTTTGCTAAGTATTTGTGTGCTGTTTGTTCATAATTTTTTTTTTAAATCCTTTATATTAACTTCGCTTTTGTTCGTGTGTTTGTCTCTATCTGTCTGGGTGTGTTGATAAATCGTCGGACGGCTAAGTGACCCACTTCCTTCAACCCATCGAGCTGAAAATTTACAATTAGACTCGTTGCCATTGACAACACAATTTATCAAATTTTCAGCCCTAACCCCCCCCCCCCAAAAAAAAATAATAATAAAAATCAGCGTTTCCTGTTTTTCAAGGGGAAGATGAAGGACATGTGATGCTAAGTATTTGTGTGTTGTTTTGTTCATGATTTTTTTTCCCGTGATATTATTTATATTTTAGACCGGAAAGGATGTCATGGATAAGGCCGAGGAAACATGTAACTTTTTGGTCCGATTCATCGCCCCTTCCAGTGGCACCCTTCTGGATCCTCGGTAGGCCTTTGTGCTTACGCAAACCATTGGCGCTGACATCGGGATCGTTCTGCCAGTTTAGACAAACGTTCTTTATGATTATGTAAAGGCCTGCTGTGTGACTGTAACCAATGGACCGAGGCAGGACTGTGATTTATGCATGTGTAATCAATAAATAGTGTAACCCCAGATTTTTTAAATGTAATTTAGGTAGATTTTTCTTAGGTAGCCATATATATAGCCGTTTCTAATGTTGGGTATGTTGTCATATAGTTTTGGGTAGGTGTTACATAGAGTTTGGTAGGTGTGACATAGTCTTTGGTAGGTGTGACATAGCTTTGGGTAGGTTGTCACATAGTGTTTGATAGGTTGTCACATAGTGTTGGGCAGGTTGTTACATAGTGTTGAGTAGGTTGTCACATAGTGTTTGGTAGGTTGTCACATAGTGATGTGTAGCTTTTAACATCACGTTTTCTTCATTTATTTCAGTCAATACTCGTGCAGTGGTTCTCAACCTGTAGGTCGCAACCCATTTGGGGGTCGAACGACCCTTACACAGGGATCGCCCAAGACCATCGGAAAATACATATTAATGAAGTAATAACGAAAATAATTTTATGGTTGAGGGCGCCACTGTATTAAAGGGACGCGGCATTTGGAAGGTTGAGAACCACTTATTTCGACAAAATAAAGTAACTGATCATCTGCTTTGCTCAGTTCATTAATCTGAAATATATTATGACTACAGTGTAATATTTAGACTAATCTGAGGCTAAACATACTATAAATTTAACGAATTATTTTTATCATTATATTCTTTTGTTGAATTAAGTATTATTAATACGAGTTTTGAGGGCCACGTTGAACACGTTGTCCTATAAATACTCGACCCTTCTCCCACCCCACCCCACCCCAAGCCCACCCAACCCTCAAATCATTTTAAAATGAACGTACAGAGAATGCACACATTCTTATGTAAAGCCACCCAACTGTATGCGCTCCATTGACAGGTCAAGTTACAGGAACAGCTGCCTTTGAATACGTCAATGGTTTCAAACGCTATTGTTTATGAATCAGTTAAAGATTGTTAATTTAGGTCAGTCGTATCGGGCGATTATCTGATTTCAAAGATATGTTTTAATGAATAAATTTAGTCTTGTCTAGTGAGAAGACAGTGGCGGATTCAGTTGGGTTTAGGAAGAGGAAAAAAAAAAAAAAGAAAGAAAGAAAGAAAGGGGGTGGGAGGGGGGGGTGCCAAACGTCCTTAAATATGTTTCCATAAAAAAATTATGTTATTCTGATTATTTATTCATATTTTTTTTTTGTGTGGACATTTTGTAATTTGTTGGTAGATTGTATTTAGTGAGGTGGTAACGTGTTACATGAAGGGACGGGATGGGTAGGCAGATTGGAGCCGTCCCATAGTACGGCAAGCTAAATTTTTTTTTTTT